AGTCCTTTATCTTTGTATTCCCAGATTCTATTTTGTTCATTGCTGAATCCCCAGTGCCTTGCACAGTGCCAGGAACATGATAGGTGTTCTGTTAATATTTGTTTAAGTGAGTGAATGGACCTTCAGTTTGATTTGGAGCTAGTAGCCATGTAATACCAATGTCTGTCAGCCTGCAAAAAATAAAAATAAAGACATTATGATTTTTTAAATTCCATTTCATTCCAGACAGCTTTGGATTATTCAATAGTTTGTGATGGTTTTTAGTCTGGTGCTGCTGATTTTTCCAATTACTGGCTTTCCTAGTGCTTACTGGTATATGACATTTCTCCAGGCAGGGTTAAGGACCATGTGAATTCATGTTAGACTGAACCAAAAGTATGTACTGGGATATCTGAGAGCATGGCTAAAATGCTTCACAAGAAGTTGATCCATCATGGCTCTAAAATTCCTTGAGCATTACTATGAGCCCCTCCTCACATGACAAAGTAGGATAGGAGTGTCTTCCATCTCTCACCAGTAGAGCCATGCTTAGCACAAAATCAGTAACATTGTTCNTGGTGTTGACTCTATTTTAGGCATTTTAGGAATAGGATTCAAATCTGAACTTTCGAAGAGTGCTAGTTCTGTGACCTTGACCTCTTTGAACTTCAGCTTCCAAATCTATAAAATGGAGGTAACTCCAGAATTGTGGCTAGGATTAAATGAGATGGTGTTTGACAAGCTGTTAGCATTATCTAACCCAGAATATGCATTCAAGAAAATGCTTGCTTGTTGCTTTTGTTGTTATTATTCCCCAGATTGTCCCAGCAAGGAAAAGTCTTGGGAAAGGCAGGATTTGTTTGGGAGAGGGTGGGTAGTGAGTTGGGGTATCCAGAGCTTCATTAACATTGAATTCAGTAATTGGGAATGGGGAGGCCAGAAGACTTGGATGAGAGGAGGTTTCTAGATTCAGAGAAAAGCCTAAGAAAAGGACTGACTCATATCTTTAGTCAAATATAACTTCTGGATTCCAGGGCTGCTTTTCTTAGGAGTAACCTCTCCCTGATGTCTTCCTTCCCTTCTTGCAGGTATGAATGCTGCTGTCAGGGCTGTGGTTCGAGTTGGTATCTTTACTGGTGCCCGTGTCTTCTTTGTCCATGAGGTTGGTTCTCTACTTCTTTCTCCTTCATTCTTTCTCTCTTCTCTGCCCCATCTGCCTCCCACACTCTTCCCACTTTCTCTTTCCTTACCTCCCAGGTACATTGCTGTTTGCTCTGCCTTGGCTCTCTATCTCCATGAGTCACACCTTCTCACTCTTGGTTTTAATAATGATGCTGGGACCCAGGGTTCTGCAAAGTGGGTCCTCATGTTGCCTCTTCAATTTAAAAGAAGAAGTAACTCTCAGTCTTCCTTCCACCTCCCGCAAAACAGAGAGAGAAACTGAACTAAGTAGTGTTTACAAAAAATTTAGTATATCCAGGGGTAGAGCCCCAGGAGAGAAGATTCTCACTATATGTCTGTAGTTGGCCTAACTTTCTGAGGTTCTGACTTCTCTTTGGCTCCCTTCTCTTGGTTCCCTTTCATGCTTTGCCCACTCTTCTTTCTGTCAGGTCTATCTGCCCTTCCTCCCTCAAATTTTATAGTTCCCTATCAAGTCACATTTCTTTCCTTCTCTCTCTCTCTAACATCCCCTTCTCCTTTTCCTCTGTTGTCATCCAAACCATCTGTTACCTAGTCCCCTGGAAAGCAGTTTGGAGGAAATAGGATGAGCCAAAAATAAGAGGAATTAAAATGAAGTATCGAGGGCTGGCCCGGTGGCGCACTCGGTAGAGTGCTGCGCTTGGGAGCGCGGTGGTGCTCCTGCTGAGGGTTCGGATCCCATATAGAGACCAGTCCGCTCACTGGTTGAGCGCGGTGCAGGCGCGACACTGAGGGTTGCGATCCCGTTACCAGTCACGAAAAAAGACAAAAAGGAAAAAAAAAAATGAAGTATCAAAAAGGATATCCTGATGTTTCAAGAATGGGAGAAACTAGAATAGGGTTGACATCTCCTTCCTTGGGCTGTGTTGATATGATAGTCTCATGAGCATCCTAGAATCACTAATGGGACGAGGTGACTTGACCCTCAGAGAATCTCTTCTCAGAGATCCTGTCTTGATCCTGAGAATTTAGGGAGGAGCCCAGCAGAGTCTGAATGGGTATAATGTGCCTCACAGGGTTATCAAGGCCTGGTGGATGGTGGAGATCACATCAAGGAAGCCACCTGGGAGAGCGTTTCGATGATGCTTCAGCTGGTATGTTCCAGAAGACTCCTGCCCCTTATTTGTCCTGTCCTTATTTCATCCCACTCTGGTTTGGACTCATAGTCTCCCAAATTCCCTGCCATGTGGTTTGATGTGAAGGGATTCAGTGACAAGAGAGGGGTTATATTTGCCCTTTACTGTTTGCATTTGAAAACATCACCCTGGATTCCTGAGGCAGGGATGTGGGTGGGTGGAGTGATAACAGAACGGTTTGCTCTTTATAGAAAGGTCATAGGCAAGACTTTGGGAACTGGCACATAAACAGGTCCTACTCTAGGGTCATGGGGAAGGTCCAGCCCTGAAAATAACCTTACTGGAGGACTGGAGCCAGAGCCAGAAGCAGAGCTGAAATCTGCCAATCCTCATGTGATGGAGATGAGGTGACCTGAAACCAGACCGTTTAAGGGAGGAAGGAACTGAGACAGCCTTTCAGAGTCTCAAAAAAACACCCTAAGAGCGTCCTAGTCATATCCATAGCCCTTTATGCTACTTAGTCCATGTGATTCTAGGATTCTTCTATATGTATCTACTGCGGGCTGGCCCAGTAGAAATATAACCATTTGCTGATTTACTGAAAAATTTACAAATCATATTCATATCCTTGTTCTTCACTTCAATCCCCTCAAAACCTGCGGGAAGAAATTTAATGTGCAGTGCCTAATGGAGGATCTACACAGGCCTGCCGTAAAGTGGTCTGAGCATTAGCCAGAATTCTCCACCAATACCCCAAAGTCGTGGATGTCCAGGATCCTATATGATTTGTGAAAACCCTAAGTATACTTACCTCTCTCAGGGCTGTCTATACGACCTTGGGAATTTAAGGCTTTCTACACCCACAGCTAATTTTCCTGTGAATATCTGGGTATTGTGGCTCCTGCTACTAGCATCATAGGAGGTGAGGGGAAAGGATTGCAGTGACTGGGTACAGTTAGAAATCTCATGGGTTAGAAAGGAAAAAATACTACCAGGCACATTGGGATGAACTCGTAGTAATAGTTTGGACACAATCTATGTCAGGTCACTAGGGAGAATTTCCAAAGACTGAAGTCACTGCTACTTCTTTGCTTCTAAGGTGTGAAAGATGGACATTATTCCAGAAGCCAACAGACATGTTGTCTTCTTCCTTTGGCCTTGTTGTCTTTGACGATAGTCACTTTGATGATAAAGCCTTCAATGAAATGGGTTGATCTTAGCAGTCTTCTAAGATGTGTGACAGAATATGAGAATGGCCCTATGATGTCTGAGCCAGCATCATTTCTCTTTCCTTGGAGGGGATAAATGGCTCTTAAGGATGTCAGGGAACTTCCTAGGTAGTCACATGGTTATGTCAGCCCATCACAGTGTTGAAATAGAGGAAATCTTGCTACGTTAAGCCCGAATTTGACTGTCATATGGGGAGCTGACTTCTACTTCTTCCCAAAAGGGAGGCACGGTGATTGGAAGTGCCCGGTGCAAGGACTTTCGGGACCGAGAGGGACGACTCCGAGCTGCCCACAACCTGGTGAAACGTGGGATTACCAATCTGTGTGTCATTGGGGGTGATGGCAGCCTCACTGGGGCTGACACCTTCCGTTCTGAGTGGAGTGACTTGTTGAGTGACCTCCAGAAAGCGGGTGAGACATTGTTCATGTCAGTACTGCTTGTTTGTGTGAGCATGCATACACACACACACACACACACACCCCTCTTACCTTCCAAAAATGTTACCCAGACACAAACAGACAGCCTGTGCCCTCCTTTTTCCACTATTGCTTATAATTGCTATTGCCTATAGTTTCTTCTCTCTCTAGAAATCTCTTTAGGCATGCTAGGTACCTCACCCAGTGGCTCCTGGTTTGCTCCCTATTGTTAGGTAAGATCACAGCTGAGGAGGCTACAAAGTCCAGCTACCTAAACATTGTGGGCCTGGTTGGCTCAATTGACAATGACTTCTGTGGCACTGATATGACCATTGGCACTGACTCAGCCCTGCACCGGATCATAGAGATTGTAGATGCCATCACCACCACTGCCCAGAGGTAAGGGGGATTGGGAGGTAGGCAGCATGGGAGGGTGGCAGCTGGGATAGGCTAAAGGGCTAGAGGCTAGAGAAGATTAAAGTGTTTGAGCAATGGCAACTATAACGACCGGTTGTCTGGGGCTAGACCACTATTTTTAACTAAGAATTATCCCTAGAGCAATGAAATCGCACAGCTACTTAAATGCTCTAAGATTTTCCTTTTGCCACTGTCCAGCCCACTGTCCAAACATATAGCTCTGAGGTCTTTAATACCTATGGGGTCTCCTAAATGCTTAGTATCCAGACAGACAAATCCAGGGAGTCCAAAACCTGACCTATTGTTTCCAGCCGTATCATAGAGATTGTAGATGCCATGTCCACCACTGCTCAGAGATAAAGGGGTTGGGAGGAGGCAATGTAGGAGGATGGAAGGATAGAAGGGTAGCAGTTTGCCCCAGGGTAATCCTAAAGGATTCCAGTTTCACCTAGTCTTCACTTCTTTTCCCTTTTTTTCCCTTCCCTTTCCTGACCCCATTCCTCCCTGGAGCAGAGCCTCTGTACCGACACCTTCAACTACTGTGTTTTCTCAGGCACAGGAAGGATGCCTTGTAGCTAAAGTGTTTCCCCTAGGTCTTCCTGGTCTCTTAGGAAACCTGCTGGAAAGCCTAGCCACATAAATGCATCTCCTAGGGAAGTTAATTGGCCTACGTGTGGGTGGAGGATTGATCCCAGCCATAGGGACACTTGGACTGTGTAAGTCCTATGTTTGTTTCTTGCAGCCACCAGAGGACATTTGTGTTAGAAGTGATGGGCCGCCACTGTGGGTAAGATCCCCATTCTGACCCATTTATTCTGTAGACCCAGCAATAGCCCTGCCCTCTTCCCCAGAGAGTCTAGTGAGATCTCTCAGTGGTAGCAGATCTGGAGGTGTGCATGTTCCTCATGGTGTGGTCCCCTTTCCCTGCCTCCACTTGCCTCCCTCGTGCACCTACATGAGTATGTGTGTACATGCTCAGGCACACGCAGTGTGAAAGAATGGACAGTGATCTGAGATTGGAAGCCACTGTGGCAGGTGAGCACAAATAGATGGTGCTCTTCAGGGACAGAACTTCATTGAGAAGCCCTTGCACTTACCCTCACTCCAAGAATGACATGGAGGGATCTCTGGGGACTGGGAGAGCTTGTAGTGTATGTGTGGAGTGTAGCTCTTAGCATGATGCTTCTGGCTCTCATCTCAGATACCTGGCCCTTGTCACCTCTCTTTCCTGTGGGGCCGACTGGGTTTTTATTCCTGAATGTCCCCCAGATGATGACTGGGAGGAACACCTTTGTCGCCGGCTCAGTGAGGTACTGGCACTTCATTTTGCCCTTTAAAAAACCCCTCTCCCTATTCCACTGACGATCCATTTCCCATCCATCAGTTTCGTTCCACTGACCATTTTGCCTTTGTTCTTGACCAGACAAGGACCCGTGGTTCTCGTCTCAACATCATCATTGTGGCTGAGGGTGCTATAGACAAGAATGGGAAACCAATCACCTCCGAGGACATCAAGAATGTTAGTATGAATGGAACCAGAGAGGTCTAGACACCCAGCCCATTCCCTAGTGGTGTCTGAGTCTCCTGACGTTGCGTGTCCCCTTGGTCTTTCTGCACATCTCTCCGCAGGTCCCTGCCTCCTGTTCCCTCCCTCCCGCCAGTAACCATTATAAGATAAGAGGCTAAGCTATCCTCAGTTTACCTCAGCCTCTGCTTGTTTTCTCCCCTTGACTCTGCATAACTCTCTCTGTGTCCCTCTCTTTGTCCTTTCAGCTGGTGGTAAAGCGTCTGGGATATGACACCCGGGTCAC